AAATAATAGCAAAGGATATTAACAAATGGAAGAACATACCATGCTCATGGCTGGGAAGAATCAATGTTGTTAAAATGTCTATACTTCCTAAAGCAATCTATAGATTCAATGCCATCCCTATTAAAATACCAACATCATACTTCCAAGACTTGGAAAAAAATAATGCTTCATTTTATATGGAACCAGAAAAAAAACCTGTATAGCTAAGGCAATTCTTAGTAATAAATACAAAGCCAGGGGTCTCAGTCTACCAGACTTTAGGCTGTACTACAAAGCCATAGTGATTAAAACAACATGGTATTGACACAAAAATAGAGACATAGACATCTGAAACTGAATAGAATACCATGAAATTAAACTAACATCTTACAGCCACTTAATCTTTGATAAACCAAACAAGAATATACACTGGGGAAAGAATCCCTATTCAATAAATGATGCTAAGAGAACAGGATATCGACATGTAAAAGACTGAAACTGGACCTATACCTTTTTCACTCACAAAAATTGATTCAAGAGGGATAAAAGACCTATATCTAAGGCATGAAACAAAAATCCTCAAAGAAAGTGTGGGAAAAAGCTATTTGAAGCTATTTGCCTGGGGACTTTATAAGGAAGACTTCCATGCAATTGCAACAACAACAAAAATAAACAAATGGAACTTAATTAAACTGAAAAGCTTTTGTATAGCTAAGAAGACAACAACCAAAGCAAATAGACAAACTACACAATGGGAAAGGATATTTGCTTATTTTGAATTAGACAAAAGCCTGATAACAAATCTACAGAGTACAAAAATTAATTAACACATAAAGAGACAGCAATCCCTTATATCACTAGGCGAGAGAAATGAATAGAACCTTCTCTACAGAAGACAGATGAATGGCTAACAAATATATGAAAACATGTTCATCGTCCCTAATTATTAGAGAAATGCAAATCAAACCCACCCTGAGATATCATCTAACCCCAGCAAGAATGACCCACATCACAAAATCTCAAAGCTGCAGATGCTGGCATGCATGTGGAGAGAAGGGAATACTTTTATACTGCTGGTGGGACTGTAAACTAATACAACCTTTTGGAAGAAAGTATGGAGAACCTTCAAATATCTCAAACTAGACCTCCCATTTGATCCTGCAATCCCATTACTGGGCATCTACCCCAAAGAAAAAAATCCTTTTACCATAAGGACACACACTAGACTATTTATTGCAGCTCAATTTACAATTGCCAAAATGTGGAAACAACCTAAATACCCACCAACCTGGAAATGGATTAACAAGCTGTGGCATATGTGTAGCATGGAATACTATTTAGTCACTAAAAAATATGGAGACTTTACATCTTTGGTATTAGCCTAGATGGAAGTGGAATACATTATTGTTAGTAAAGCATCACAAGAATGGAGAAGCAAGAATCGTATGTACTCAATTCTGATATGAGGACAATTAATGACTAAGTACATGGTGGGGGGTAGGGATGGGAAGGCCAAAGAAAGGGAGGGAGGGACTGAAGGGTCATGGTGTATGGTACACCTTTTGGGGGCAGGACACAATTATAAGAGGATCTTTATCTAATAAATGCAATCAACGTTACCTGGTTCTTTGTATCCTCAATGAATTCCCAACAATTAAAAAAAAAGAACATGGAGTACTACTCAGACATAAAAAGGAATGAAATAATGTCTTTTGCAGCAGTTTGGAGTGAAGTGTCTCAGGAATGGAAAAAACGAAGGCCACATGTTCTTACTTAGGAGCAAGAACTAAACAATGGGTACATGTGGTCTGAAAGTGGTGTAATGGACATTGGAAACTAAAAGGAAGGGAGAGAGTCAAGGAGTGAAGGATAAACGATTACCTATCAGGTACCACGTGCACTACAGTGGTGATGGGTATGCTAAAAGCCCTGACTTCAGCATTATACAATTCATCCATGTAACAACAACAGGAACAAACTACTTGTAACCCTTTTATCTATTGAAATAAAATATAAATGAAGTTTTTAGAAAAAAGAATGAAAAGGAGAGAAATGGAGTGGGAAGGGAGGGAAAGGTGGAGGTTTGATAGAGGGAGGGTAAAAGGCGGGACCATACCTTGACAGTCAAATCTGCCAAATGTAGAACATAAATGTCTTAACACAATAATCAAGTGAATGAGGTGAAAGCTATGTTGATTGGTTTGATGTAACCACATCAGATTGTATAAAAAAACAACACATTGTACCCCACATACACATAAATGTATTCATGATCTATGTGTATTTGACTTAATAAAAGAAGAGGGAGAGAATGAAAAGCATACAAATTTACTTGATACAAATTTTATATAGAAGTCTATATAAGGAAATGAACACCAAAGGCACAGTTGGAGATGAACAGTTAGTTATATCTTGAATTGGACAAAGTTTAGGAAATTATGGAAATGTGACAAGTCAAAGGGACTTGGGCTAGAGTAGTTACTTAGATGAAGAAGAAGCTAGGAGGAGAAGCATTTCCCTTGGCCTCAACTTCCTGTCCTTGAGGGTAAGAATGATACTTTCCTTCTGGTAAAGGGAGGCTGTCTTTCACATGGCAATTTCATGTCCTGTTTTTAAGAAAGCAGGTCAGAAAGGTCGGAGTGATCTTGAACCTGCTGTTTTTCATGTGCCTTTAACTCTAATCAATATGCTAGAGTGGAAGTATTTTTAACCTCTTCTCTGGCACTAAGATATCTTGCTCCATTTAACTATGTGAAAGTGTCTGAAACTTGCTAGTTTCTTCTTATATAGTTATTCACCTCACAGAGAGAGTTGTTGTAAAGATTGTATTAGACCCATAAAGCGTCACCCAAAGATTAGTTATCATTATGAAGGCCAAGAACTGTATTACATTTTGAGATGTGAGCCATTTATGGTGACTTCAGGATAGCATAAGATGTCTTATGATCCCTATTCCTTTATGAACATGCTTATTGGTGTCCAATGGCATGTTGAAAATATGCAGCTAGTATACTTTACTATAGTATGCCTATGTATTTCTGCTCCCATCAGTGTCTTCCAGTTCTACTTGTTATTATAATGTGTCATATAATAAAATATGAATCTATCAAATGTCAAAGTGAACAGAGAGTCACAATCTTATGAAGAATAAGTCAAATGTTTCAGGAAGATTTGATGAAGTAGAGTGGCTACAACCAAAATTGCAGCTAAATTAAATAAAAGCAAGACTACAATAAAATACTGAGAGAAAATTCTAGTAGTAAAATCTAGAAGAATTCTGTACCTAGATTTCTATAAAGAAGACTAGAAATCATATATGAAGCAATGATTTATAGAATTGCTAAGGATTTGTCAAGAAAGAACTCTGTTCAGAGGAACCCAAACTTAAAAAGTTAAAGCCTTCGTCGAATATCAGAAGTTTAGAGAATGAAGTTATATATATGTTTGAAGTTACAATAAAACACTTAAGGCATATATGTATCATTTTTATGATTCCCAGCTTAACAAACTTGGCCAGGTGAGAAGGCATCTAACTACACTTGTAATTATCCCACAGCCCCAAGGATCTACTCAAGCTATACCCATCATTGGTAAAGGAACTTTCCAAAGGTTTCTTCCAAATGGGAAAATGTCAGCGTTACAGAGACCCAGAGATGTCCTACAAAATTGAAATGTTAGCAGTCAGTGTAGCTGAGAGTCAGGCTGTTAATAGTCACTAGGCCCCTTTAGCAAGAAGCTTTTCTTGGCCAGACATGGTGGCTCACTTCTGCAATCCTAGGTCTTGGGGAGGCCAAGGTGAGAGGATCCTTTGAGCTCCGGAGTTAGAGACCAGCCTAAGCAAGAGTGAGACCCCCATCTCTACTAAAAGTAGAAAAATTAGCTGGGTGTTTTGGTGGGTGCCTGTTATTCCAGCTTCTTGGGAGGCTAAGGCAGGATGATTGCTTAAACCCAAGAGTTTGAGGTTGCTGTGAAGTATGCTGATGCCATGGTATTCTAACCTGAGCAATAGAGTGAGACTTCCAAAAAAAAAAAAAGCTTTTTTATATCATAGAAAAGGGTAATGCAAACTCCTCTTTGCAGGTACCTGCGTTGTAATAGCGCTTTTCAAACTGTGGGTCGCAAAATTAGTTTAATGGATAGAACATAAAATTTTGTGCAAATCATAGAAAGTGTAAGTTTGGAATTCATAAAATGATTAAGCCCATTATGTACTGGCTAAGAAAAAAAAGCTACAGATCATTGTAGAAATAAAAGAGGCAATGTACGTTAAAAAAAAAAAAAACTCAAGTTTTGTATGGCAGGACAAAAATTTAAATTGTAATTAAACATAAGGGACTTTGAGGATGGAATAACATGAAGCATGAAGTCAAGGGTTTGCTTTCAAATACTACAATGGAAAGAAAGAGAGAAAGAGAGAAGAGGGGAGGAAAAAGAATGAGAGGGAGGAAAGGAGGGAAGAGAGAAATTAACATGTAAAGCAAAATACTGACAATTACAGAATCTGGGGAACAGGTATATGAGAATTCATTTTATTGCTCTCTACTGTTCTATGTCTGAAAATTTTAATACAATTAAAAACTTCAAAGTGGAAGGAATAATGGGCATTGAAAATGCTGGGTGGTATTCCTACCCTGTTTTATCTTCTGTAGGTACTATTTTTATTTATGTTAGTTAGAAAAATAGTGTTGTAATTAGTTTTTAATAAGTAGTAATTTAGTGTTAGGTCTTGGAGTAAAGCATATTGCCTATTCCTATTACTATAATCTTCAGTAATAGAGATTCAAGAAAATGTACATGTGCACATGTGTATCATGCCAAGTTAAAACACCAAATTCCACATATAACCACAAAGCAGTGAGACATCTTGTGCTATTTCTGAGTTGAAATATTTTGGACAAACACTTTAAAGGTGAAAGAAAATCGATCCAAAATACACTCTTTGAATATTTCTGAGGGCATTTGTGTACCAAGTACTTCCATAAACAATGGTTTCTTAAACTATGATGACTTCTCTTTTCTAGGAAGAACAGGAACTATGGTTTGTGTCTCCCTTATTGCCAGAGAAATATTTTCAACTGCAGAGGTATGGAAGATGTTTCTATAATCTTTATCTTATGCTTATTGAATTTGCTAGTTCTGAAACTTCACTAGTAGGATGTTAAGATGATTCTTTAAGTCATGGTGCTTAAATGTAGTTCCAGTTGGAGTTGGAAAGCAGTTTTCTGAAGGTCTGGCTTTAATACTTCTTTGTTAACATGCACTAGTTATTAATAGTAACTAACTTAAGAATTCCTTTGGGTCAGGACTAAGGTGAGATTAGTAAGGTATAAAATTTAAGGGAATGCCAAAATCATCACAATTAAGATAAATAATATTTTAATGCAATATTGTAAGTATAAAATTAATGCCAAAAAACCTATGATGGGTACAATATCAACATTTTAAATGAAGACAGGAGTCAATAGGGCAGGATTAATGTGAAATGAATAAAGCCACATTATGGAAGTGCAAAAAAAATTTTAAAAACTTTACTGAGATGCTTCACTTGCCTCACACTACTCCTGGCTTGTTCTTACTGGTAGTAACATGACTTTTTCCTTCATCATGGAAATAACATCAAGATTTATTAGATCTTGACCTTGACCTTCCTTACACTTGCTAGGTAGGTGAAAGGTACCATTTCCAAACTCAGAACAAAGTCTCTCCTGAATTAGCTGTGCATAGTAACATATATAGGATCTGTGACCTTTGGAAATTTCTGAGAGGACAGGGTGGGGTGTTACCACTTCTTAGGGCAGGGTTCTCAGTCTTTTTTCTGCCTTGAGAAGTAATCACATCCAGGACACACCATTAGGAGCTCTGCTCAAGTTCCTTGACCTAAGTTCCGGAGAAGAGAAAGAGTAGATTATGTGTGATGCCCAGCACTCTAATTCCACCACCTTTGCCTTTTCTAATTTGAGACAGGGGCCTTTAAATTGGATATTCTAGAACAGTGTCTTTCAAACTATGGATTTTTTTTTTAAAAAGTAAAATGAAATAGAGCAGAATAGAAAATATCAAAATGTGTGTGTGTGCATCTTCTAGGATTGTAGCTTAAAAAACAGAGTTTGAAAGCCTATGACCCAGAGCCCTAACTCCCTCCAACAGGCTGCACCATCTCCATGACAGGTTGCTTGGTTTTTTTCATTTGTTCTCAGTCTTCTTGTCTATAAAATGGAAAGATAGGAAGGAGATCTCTAAGGTCTTTCTAGCTGTAAAATTGCATGTTTTTATTCCTCTTTGAATGAGAGAAGCCTTTTGCTTTGTTAGCCTCTGTCCAGAGAATGCTGATGTAGGCAATAATGTGCCCTTACAAACTTTAGAGATGCCTAATACAGGAAAGAAAAGAGTGAAGATGAACCATGCTTGAACTGTTCCCTGTTATTACAGGACAGCCTTTATTATTTTGGAGAACGAAGAACAGATAAAACCAGTAGCAGTAAATTTCAGGGAGTAGAAACCCCTTCACAGGTAAGTTTTCTTTTTAAAAAGGCAAGTATTTAGGGGGTGAGCTTGGATTGGCACCTGTTACTTGGTTTTGTTCTAGACTATTTTCCTTTGGTGATCAAACAGTAGCACTTAGTTGCACTACAATAGGCCTGATCTTCCCCATGCCAAGACCTGCCTTAGGTGCCATCCAAGCTTTGCACTCTGGGTTCTCAGAGCACCCCATTTTCCATTTTATACTGGTGATTGCTTACAGAATTCAGAAGTTGATTACCTTCCTAAAGAAGAAAGGCCCAATACCTAAAGCTCCATACCCCTGAAGATTATATAAAGTCACCAGCCTTTGATTTCCCTGTAAAGAGAAAATGAATCTTTCACAAACACCTCCTAGGGTATTTTATTCTTGGAGAGCATCACAAGGACTGTTCTGTGTGTGTTAGGGAGAGGTTATATTTTGAAAGAAAAAGGGAAAGGGAAAGAAACACTTTCCAAAAACTCTACTATATCCCTTCTGAATATGTTTTTAAAAAACATTAAATACTTGGGTGGCGCCTGTGGCTCAAGGAGTAGGGTGCCGGCCCCATATACTGGGGCTGGCAGGTTCAAGTCCAGCCCTGGCCAAAACTGGAAAAAACATTAAATATCAGATAACATAGCACTTTTAAATATATCTCATTTAATTCTCCTAACAGCTATGTGAAATATATGCTGTTCCCCTATTTTTCCTTATTGAAACATTTTATTATTAAAATTTAAAAACATATGTAGAAGTCCAAAGAATCATCAATAAGCCCCTTGAAGTCATGACCCCCCCCTTGAATAATCAGTCCAGCCTACAACAAGCCATGTTTCATCTATTCCCTTCCAACTCTCCTCACACTCCCACTTTATCCCATGATTATTTTAGTATGACATTTAATACCTATATAAGTACTCTTAACAAAACCAAAACTCTAATAAATATTATACCTTAAAAATAAACTGGTAATGGGCAGCACCTGTGGCTCAAAGGAGTAGGGCGCTGGCCACATATGCCAGAGGTGGCAGGTACAAACCCAGCCCTGGCCAAAAACTGAAGAAAAAAAAAAAAAAATATATATATATATATACACACACACACATATGCTGGTAATATCAAGTTTCTAATCCATGATTTTAAGGCATGGAAACTTAAGTTATTATGTCTCAAAATATTTTGAAATTTAGTTTCAGTCAGGTTCCAAACAAGGTCCACACATTTCATTTGGTTGCTGCATCTCTTGAGTCTCTTTTAGTTTATGGATTTCCTACCTCCTTTTTATTCCTTGTGATTTGTTTATTGAAGAAACCAGGACATTTATCCTATAGAATTTACAACATTGTAGACTTTGTCAAATCATTCTAAGGGTTATTAAAGTCATTAACTCTTTAATATTCTCAGTAACTCTAAGTACGCTACTATGAATACTGTTTACTAAGTGTGAAATTGAGGTGCAGAGAAATTACCTTTCTGAACCAAGGACTCAAATCTAGATGCATCAAACTCTGAGCCCCATTATTTCCCCAGCTTCTCATCTATATTGCACTGAAACAGAAATAAGAGCTCGTTGAGAATTCTTGAGTAGATTTGGAGGTAGCTGTGAGTCAGGTTTTCTTGGAGCAAAGTGATGGGAGCTAAATAAGAGTCTTGGTGCTGTTAGAACATGGTAATTACTTATTGGAGACCTTTGAAAATAAATGTACAGTGTTACCCACTGTACTTTTATCCCCCATCCAAGTCAAATGTTAAACAAAAGAAAACAGCGACAGCCATAGACCATAAGCTAAAAGTATCTCAAGAAGCTATGGAAGCATAGCTTGAATCATGCCATTCCCATGTTCAAAATCCATATCTCCCAACTACCAATGGCAACTAAGTAGTCCAACCTGGCACTCAAGAATTTCTACAGTTTGGTTTTTCCAACCTTTCCTTCCACCCTAATATATTTACACTGCTAATATATTTACAGTGGTAATATATTTACACTGCTATTTCCCAGCCCGGGGACACTTGACACCTTCATGCCATTGCTAATGCTCTTTTCCTGGAGTCTGTTTCCCTTCCCAGCCTGAAATAGTCCCTTACTATTTTGTTTCAGTTCTTAGAGGCCTTTGTGTTGCTTTTAGGAACTAATTCACTTCACATTATTCTCTAAATATTTTTTGCATGTCCTTTAAAGGCAAGGTCCATATCTCTCCCTCTTTCCACCCTTCACATCCCAGAGTGCCTTCTCACTCTTCATAACATTGTCCTTGTTTGTCATGAGTGCTCATTGTGTGTTGATTGTGTTAATATTTGTTACAAGCCCTGTTGCTTTGAGGTATAGGAGAAAGAACCATGGGAGCTAAAGCAGCTGGGGGCCTTGGAATATCCAGTGTCCAGCTCTAAGGGAGTGTTAGATATAGCTCACCCAGTACATCTCCCCTTCCTGGTTTCTTCTGCAGTTGTGCACACTTCCCACAACTTTAGGACAGAAGTGGAGCACAATTCTGCAGCTGCAATTGAATCTCTTCTGATTCACTGAGTCAGCAATCCAAGGGCTGTCTTGCTACAGATTGGAGAGCTGTGGCAGCAAGGCCCCAGGACACAGTGCCCTGTGTGGCACAGGGTAATTCTCAGATCCATCACATTCAGACCCTGCACTGTGGGCTACTCTACTGACCACATTCTATCCACCCTGAGTTAAGAACTTACATGAACCTTCCTCATGACTGGCCCTTCCTAGTGGACAGCATGGCAGTTAATTTTATTAATACTTCTCAATGGGTAGGGCAGAGTCTATGAACTTTTGAGCCCAGTTGATTCAATACCAGAAGCCTTCAAATCCTTTAAGAAAGATTCAAGGAGACCCATTGTCAACATCTTGCTGCAGGTAATGGACAAGGCTAAAAGAATCCCAGGGCTTCTTTGTGAAGATGGAATTGAGGAAATAGAAAATGAGGAAAACCTAGCTGGCAGGAATAAGAGGAAAATGACGTGAAATCTGCTACTTACTGTGGAAGTCTTCTTCCTGAGTTTTCACATACCCCATTCTCCCTGGCCCAGAGGGCTACTCTCCACAAAATCCCAAGCCTTCTTCTACCCTGGTCACAGCTAAGCTCCTACCCCATATGGGTAATACTGTGGCTGCTTTCTTGTTGATTCTGAAAGTTGCTCTTTCAATCATAAGCAGCTCATGAGCCAGGCCTGGCTCCGACCTTGTTACTTCACATACCACTGACTTCATTGGGTTTTTTTCCCCAAAGGTAGATAATCTCTTATAAGGTAGCCTCCATAAAAATGCTGACTTACTTAACAATACCCAGTAAATGTTTCCTTAACTGCTTACTGTCTTTAATAAGTTCTATACAAAAAAGAAAACAAAAAATTAGGACTGGTGACTTCAGGTTTTAAATATACACTTAGACTGAGGCTTGTTTTGCTTTGCAGAACAGGTATGTTGGATATTTTGAACAAGTAAAAAATACATACCAGTGGAATCTTCCTCCAAGGAAAATGCTGTTGATTAAAAAAGTCATCATTTACTCAATTCATGGTAAGTGCTTTATGCATAATTGGAGAATGGGGCAGGAGAGCCAATGTCTCCACTATTTAGAGGGTTTTGCTCATAGTCTCATATATATATATATACACACACACACACACATATGTACTAGCATACATAGTCATATATATTATTGAGGTCATATATATGTCATATATATGTAATATAGTCATATATATACATATAGAGAGAGATAATATCCTCAAAAACAGGTATTTCTAATATATCCTCATACATCAATCCTAGGCCAAATTTGAGGGTGTTATCCCCTTCCCTCTGTCCTGTTCTCATTGCCGAGGCCAGCCCACACCTTCCAGGATGTAGCCTCTGATGGAGGAGAGAGGAAGGGCCCAGGTGCCCTTAAGACTGCTTGTTTCTCATAACCATCTCTACTTCAGGGTTCATTTTGGTAGAGGTGTCCCCTATCATTTTCTTACCTACTCTATTGTCACCCTTTACCCTCTCTCTTCCATCTGTAACCCTCTCACCCCCAGCAACTCCCTCAAGATGTGTTAAATACGCATACAGCAAATTAACTTTATTTGTTGCCACATGAACTACAAATGCCTGCTTTGGGCTGGGCCCTGTGCTAGTGTTTCCCTGCTGGTAATGAGCCCTGGGTGATCAGCAGAGAAGAGAACTAAGGACATAGGTAAAAGCCAACCACAGCAAGCTGGGATCTACAGTGCTGGAATCAAGGAAAGCCTCCTACAGGGCAGCACTTAGTTCCTCTGAGCCTGACTCTACATGAAATGGAAAGAGCTGAAGCAAAGGGGTGCTCTATGGATGTGTCTCTCAGCACCCTAGTGGTTACCAAGTTTTACCAGTAGTAAAAATCCTTGTAAACTTCGAAAAAGCTGAAATAACAACAGACCCCTTAGAAATTCAAAAAATCCTTAATGAATACTACAAGAAACTTTATTCCCAGAAATATAAAAATCTGAAGGAAATCAATCAATACTTGGAAGCAGGCCACCTCCCAAGACTTAGCCAGAATGAAATGGAAATGTTTAATAGTCCTCTATCAAGCTCTGAAATAGCATCAACTATACAAAATCTCCATAAAAAGAAAAGCCCAGGACTAGATGGCTTCATGTCAGAATTCTACCAAACCTTTAAAGAGGAACTAGTACCTATATTACTCAACCTTTTCCAAAATATAGGAAAAGACGGAATACTACTCAACACATTCTGTGAAGCAAACATCACCTTGATCCCTAAACCAGGAAAAGACCCAACAAGAAAAGAAAATAATAGACCAATATCACTAATGAATATTGATGTGAAAATATTCAACAAGATCCTAACCAACATAATCCAGCAACACATCAAACAAATTATATACCACAACCAAGTGGGTTTTATCCCAGGATCTCAAGGATGGTTCAACATATGTAAATCTATAAATATAATTCATCACATAAACAAATTACAAAACAAAGACCATATGATTCTCTCAATTGATGCAGAAAAAGCTTTTGATAATATCCAGCATCCCTTCATGATCAGAACACTTAAGAAAATTGGTATAGAAGGGACATTTCTTAAACTGATAGAGGCCATCTACAGCGAATCCACAGCCAATATCATATTGAATGGAGTTAAATTGAAATCACTTCCACTCAGATCAGGAATGAGGCAAGGTTGCCCATTATCTCCACTGCTCTTTAACATTGTAATGGAAGTTTTAGTCATCGCAATTAGGGAAGAAAAGTGATTAAGGGCATCCATATAGGGTCAGAAGAGAATAAACTTTCACTTTTCGCAGATGATATGATTGTATACCTGGAAAACACCAG